TGAACCTAGGACTATACACCATATTAGTTTTTGGTAAATATGTATGCTTCTTAATCACTTAATTAACATAATTAATTAATACTGATATCTCAAGTATTGATCATCATCACATTTGAATAAAACTTGGTACATAAATGCTCTAGGACAATAGACGGCCTGATTAATTTTGGGTTAAAATCTGTTCATATTAACTCTCTAATTAGCATAATAATTAATATTTTTTGGGTTCTAATCACATTTCAATGAAACTTGGTACATTGTGCAGACCTTATTAGTTTTACACTTAAATCTGTTCATATCAGTTACCTGATTTACATAATTAGTTTTCAGCTATTCCATCAATATCTCAAGTACAAGTAATTTTGAATTAATTTTTAATGTGTCTTCAATACTCGCAGCACACGGGAGTTCTTTCTAAGTTTTCTTTGATTCATAATTTATATTAATATTTAACAAGACACTGGGTGTCTTTCGCAGTCAGTAATATTTACGAAAATTTGTATTCGCTACATGTATTTTATAAACTGGCTTGGCCAATTCCCACCACCAATTAGACAATGTCACAGCATTTTGGCTATTTTTCAACAAATCCAAAATCACTCTTGATAATTTTGTTTACTTTACATTTGTACTATGATTACATTTGAAGTTTTGATAATATTAATGGTATACATATTTTAATACATACATGTACACTTGACAAAAAATGCCCAGAAAATAAAAGAATTTAGTATATAGCCTTGACAAAAAAGCATTATTTTTTCAAACTGTGTAACTTCATCTTGAAATACTTATGAAATTTAAAGTTCAGTTCATCTTTCACACTGATATCTCAAGTACCGATACTAATTATTCCATTCCAATGAAACTTAGTACATAGATGCTCCATGACGGACCTGATTTTGGGTTAATTCCATAATTAGCATAATAATTCATATTTTCTTGTTCTAATTACACTTCAATGAAACTTGGAACATAGAAGGTCTGTGACATTGCACAGACCTTTGTTTGTTTTACACTTAAATCAATGCATATTACTCACCTGATTTGCATAATTAGTCAGTTCCAAATTTATAGTCCCCGTTCGGACGAAGTCCGAAAACGGGGACTATTAATTTGGGTTCGTTCTGTTTGTTTGTCTGTCCGTCCGGAGCTATATCTCGGACACCCATTGACAGATTTCATTCAAACTTTACATGAAGACAACATTTTGTACAAAGATAGTATACCAATGGATACATTTGTATCAACATTATTTTTGTGATTCGATTCAATATGGCTGACCGATGCCCAAATTTCTTGTAAAAGCGTTAGTCATTTTTTACATGTCCAGAGCTGTTTCTCAGAGATGACTATGCTAATTTAGATGAAAGTTGATATGTTGATCATACATATTGGGTTATAGGTGCACGTCATTTTTTTTCGTGATTCGAACAAATATGGCTGACTGGCGACCATTTTGTTTTTCATGGTACCCATGCTACTTTCTCTTGAATGCAATAAACGTTTCTCTTTAAATTTTGTACAAAGATAATATACCGAGGGATACATTTGTACCAACATTATTTTTGTGATTCAATTCAATATGGCCGGCCAATGCCCAATTTACATGTAAAAGTGCTAAATCCTAATTTTTGCATGTCTGGAGTGGAGCTGTTTCTCAGAGATGACAAGGCCAATTTAAATCAAAGTTGGTATGATGATCATACATATTAGGTTATAGTTGCATGTCATATTTTTTCTGTGATTCAAAATAATATGGCTGACTGGTGGCCATTTTGTTTTTCATGATACCCATGCCTACTTTCCCATGAATGCAATGAACATTTTTGTTCAAATTTTGTACAAAGACAGTATACCAATAGATACATCAACATGAACATTATTTTTGTAATTTGATTCAATATGACTGCCCAATGTTCAATTCTCGTGTAAAAGCACTAAATCATAATTTTTCACAAATCCATCTCCTATTAATGGTTTCAATCTAATCTCAATGACTTCATCAGCATCGAATTGATATGTCAGATCACAAAATTTTGAACGGGGACTGTCATTAACAATGACTTGTCTATCAATATCTTAAGTACAAGTAGTTTTGAATTAATTTTAATGTGTTTCCAATGCTCAGCGCACAGGAGTTCTTTCTAAGCTTTCTTTAATTTGCTTTTCAGCAGTGAAAAACAAGAAATTCAGTGACTTTACAGTTTCGTTGGGACCACCTACATTTCCATTTTTCATATTACTTGAAAACTAAAACTACTTCACTAGTGCATTTAATTTTTTTATCTAGGTGTATTTGGTGCTGGTAAGAGTTTCTTACTCGCTGTTGTTATCGTGTTTCTGGTTCAACTATTCAACATGGAAGAAGACTCTAACTATCATTGGAAACTTCTGATATCATCAACAACAAATGTAGCTGTTGATAGAATCCTTCAAGGGTATGCAGTTTATGTAATTTTTTCACTTCTGTTGCTTTCTAATTACACCAGGAATGAGTATTTTTGGAGATGGCTGAATTTTGAAAAGAAAGATGAAAACCATATTTTTTAGCTCCACTGTCGACAAAGTCAACACAGCGGGAGCTGTTCGTATTACTGATTGTCCGTCGTTGTCAACTTTACAATTTCAACTTCTTCTTCAAAGTCGGAATGTTTTCAAATTTGATATGCAAGTACCTTGGTTGATTCTTTCTCAGATTTGTTCATTTTCTTTCATATATTGCATATATAGGTATATAGCTTTGTTCATTTCGTAATGATATCTTAATTCTCTAATTTTAGTGAATATTTTTGTATTTTTTGGTAAAAAGTGATATTTTGGACTTTTTGTTAAAAACCACAAGTCCAATTGCTTTGATATTATACATATAGGTACTACAGGTAGACCTCTATCAGATTTGTTCTTTTCATGATGATTTTTTCAATTCTCAAATTTTGAAGAATATTTTTGTAATTTTTGGTAAAAAGTGATATTTTGGACTTCTTGTTAAAAACCACAAATCCAATTGCTTTGCTATTATACATATAGGTACTACAGGTAGACCTCACTCAGATTTGTTCTTTTCATGATGATATTTTCAATTCTCTAATTTTGAAGAATATTTTTGTCATTTTTGGTAAAAAAGTGATATTTTGGACTTCTTGTTAAAAACCACAAGTCTGATTGCTTTATACATATATATATATATATATATATATATATATATATATATATATATATATATATATATATATATATATATATATAGGTACTACAGAAGGTCTTCTCTCAAATCTGTTCATTTCATGATGATATCATTAATTTTCTAATGATATTTTCTGTTCTTTAATTGAAATGTGCATTGCTAACAGCGGAGGTATCTCAGCCGACAGGTTGCTTGTTAAGTAGTTTAAATATTAGTATGGATTTTACAGTCAGCAGTAATTGTTGAATGTATTACTGATGGTGTCTTATTTTAAGTATATTAACTATTATAAAATGTATAGATTATTGGATGTAGGATTTGAAGATTTTGTCAGAGTGGGAAGTATGAAGAAAATAGCCAAACAAGTTTTACCATACAGGTATGATTGATTCTAATCCCAAATTTGGAAATAGGAACTTGGTTTGGGTTCTGTCTTGGACATGCCACTATCCGTTTTTCTGGTACACAACCTGATCACAAAAGGATACTATGTACATATTTCGATTCACTGATGTTTGATTGACTGGTGAACATGTTTGTCCTCAGACTTGTTTTATAAGCAGATTTCATCAAAAAACATCACACATAGTGGATTACTGTTCTTTTACTTGCATTGCATTGGAACATGGCAATATATAAATCTATTGATTAATTTAAAAATATTTCAGTATATTGGCAATTTAAAAAAAAAATATAACTTGATATGCCATTGTGATTCATTGGATTACAGACTAAAGTGCAGATGACATTTATGAAAGTGGGTTGAAAATGTTGGTTGAAAGCCAAAAAATATTGTCGAAAGCATAAAAACGATATAGCCACCCCCTTAAGGATTTAATCTAAATGAGTTGCTCATGAAGAGTTTTTTGGGTACTATATACCTATATGTATATTACTATTAGTCATTCTGATAAAATAAAACTTTTCTGAGCACATGCATCAATATTTTTCTTGTTATCTTACCCCCAGTGTCCATGCTACAGGATCTGAAAGTCAGGAGTTAAGAGAATTACAAGATATGTTGAAAGGTGATCTCATTCCTTCAGAAAAACAACTTGTCCGGAAAGCAATAGAGAAACATCGTCTTGGGAAAAACAAAGCCAAGTTATCCAATGTTAGAGTTGTTGGGGTAACATGTGCAGCCTGTGATTTCCCCTGTATGAAGAAACTGAAATTTCCTGTGAGTTTTATTGAACTTTGATAAATAAAATGAGTCAACATGGTAGTAAAATGTCCTGTCCTGTCCTCTAGAAATGTGTTTATATTTCATTCTTTGTGTACCAGGATTTGTGTTAGAAAATTTCCTTCTATAAAACTCTTCTCAGATTTAATTTTTGTTTCCTTTATTGTGTTCAACCCTTCTGCATTTCTGTAAGAGTTCAACAATAACAGCATTTTTGGTGAAAAGTGACATTTTTGACTTTTGTTAAAAACTGCAAGTCCGATTGCTTTGATATTATACATATAGGTACTACAGGTAGATCTCTCTCAGATTTGTTCATTTCATGATGATATCTGCAATTCTCTAATTTTGATGAATATTTTTGGTAAAAAGTGATATTTTCGACTTCTTAGTAAAAACCACAAGTCTGATATTACTTACATATATATAGGTACCTCAGGTAGAAATTTCTTAGATTTGTTCATTTTGTGATGATATCTTCAATTCTTGAATTTTGATGAATATTTTTGTCATTTTAGGTAAAATGTGATATTTTTGAATTCATGTTGAAAACAGCTGTGATACTATACATATTGTTCATTTTCTAATGATATCTCCAGATCACTGCATCACCTACATTATTTCCATCTGTAGAAATAATAAATTCCATTTATTACTCGTTAGGCTTAACTACAGATTACAGCCCGATCAGAAACTATTAGGGAATATACCCTGTTCACAAAGAGCACTTTAGAGTAGCATTCCCAATAGAAAAAAGGCCTCTCCTAAGAGGTCACCCTCAGGGTGCTCACGCTCACGCTGATCAAATCATTCTCTCTTGTTTTCGTGACCAATGGGTGCAGATATTTTTCAGCTCCTCGGCTATGCATGGACAAGAGTGCAGGTTACAGTTTTATGACTGAGATTATTTAGGAATTTAGTGTTGGTGATCGACTCCATTACGGTAAAGGCTTTCCATTATTAGGGGCCCCTGTTTTTACCTGTTTTAGTTGAATCGCCGGCTCAGTTTTTATTCACCCGGATTCCGAATTCTGGCGCTATGAATTTTCTTGTTTCTTGTAAGTTTTTTTGACTGCAATATGCCTAAGTCGTAAAAAAGACACAAGACATGCTCATCCTGCCTTAAACAAATGCCTGTTTGGGACCGGCATGTTGCCATTCATGTCTCGGTTGTGTCAGGGACTCGGGGCATTGTCTAGAGGGTCTCTGCGATCGATGGGATCCTAAAACGTAGTTACATTGCGAGGCAAGGTGGAAAGCTGAAGGCAAGCGATTAAAAGCTGGTAATAATCCAATGGTAATAGTCCAATGGTAACAGTTGCGAAAAAGGGGAAATCCCTAGCCGCAGGCTAGCGATGTAATGTCTGATTCAATGAGTGAAGAAAATCTCTCCCTCCACTTGGTAATCGCCAAGATTGTTGGAGTGTTGTCACGATCTGACTCCCTGCTCAAGGTAGCGGGGTTGTTGATTGAGACAAGACCTTCAGAACCGTTTACCGTTGAGGTAGCAGAGGCTGATCTGAATCCTCCCCACTGGATGTTACCGAGGCTAACAAACACCGTTCAACCACTTTGCTGGGAGATCAGAGTTTCCTGTCACCACGGTTACCGATGTTGATAAACAACGTGTTCCCACTGGGGCGCTGACATCGACACCGAGTTCCGAGGTGGAATCTGCACAGCCTTTAGAGATTTAACCGGTTCAATCCACCAGGGCTTTATTGGTACCAACACAGCCTGAGTGACTTGTGCAATCACAGGGACAGGCCCCGTTGCCTTCCCTTACTGGTACTAGTCAAGGTGGCCAGCTCTCCCAGGGTGAAGAGATGGCTTGGAAAGCCTGGATGCGTAATCTGGCTTCAAAAGTCAACTCCTTTCTGCAGTCTCAGGGTGGTATGCAACCCTCTTATGGGTGCAGCTACCACGTCTCCACTTTGTCAGGGCAGTCACAGGATACCCAACCAACCAAAGCCCAGCTGTCCCTTACTAATATGCAGTTAAGGTCGCAGCTTGTGAACCAGGCAGTGATGGCCGCGAGACTCTGGTTTTATACAGAGCCGGTGGTAATCCCACCCACCGGATGGAAGAGTCGCTGTTGGACACATTTTCATCGGCGCTCTCCTCTCCTACTGCCAGCGTGGAGACCACTCCTGCTGGCGAACTCCCATGGGTGTCTTGTGTGGCCCAAACGGGAGGGGGCTCAGAGGGCGATGGAGGGGTCGATTGTTACCCTTAGCGAGAAAAGGACAAACGGCTTGAACCTGGTTTCGGAGTAGTCACATCCAATGCCTTCCGTTGGGTGACTCAATATCCTATTGGGGCTATGCGAACTGTTGATGGGTCCCCCGTGCGGGACACTCAAGCGGTACCACAGCCTGAACAAAAATAAAACTTTACGGGTTCCCAATCATGATCCCGGTACTCATACCTTTGTTAAGGCAGGTAGTGTGAATCAGGAAAGCCAGGTTGCGTGGTCATTTGACCGGCACCAATGCCTACAAGTGTATCAGGCTTACTGGCGGAACTTAGACCATCAAGTTTATAGAATGGGCTTCTTTAGTGTTAGAGGGTCAGCTCACCTTGCATGTACCTCTGACCGTCTGAGTGCTCAGCAACAGACCTCAATCCTGGGGCAGATGGGCCAGTTCCTGGCGGCGCAGAGATTCGCTATGTGCGATATCTTGCAAGTCCATACTAGCCTCTTGGCAGGAGCGGTTTCGGCTGAGTGTGAGGCAGTTCTGGGTCTGTGCGCCTATCCTACTCCAGCATGAGACTAGTTTGATCGCCTGTGGAAAGGGCCTCAGGGGCATGACCGGCTATTTGTGTACTTCGGCTCAACGGTTCAAACGAAACCGCAAGGCAGCCCAGGCCGGAGGCGTCAGAGATAACCCAAGAAACGTGGTGATGGTGATGGGCGTTCTCCTCTGACTCCTCACCCTCCCTCAGGTCTTTTGCCAAAAGATGACGTCAAGGCAGAGACGATCCGACAGGAAGTAGCAAGGCTTCTGGAGAAAAGGGCGATACACCTAGTGGGGAACCCCCATTTATTGCCAGGGTTCTTTCCCACATCTTCCTCGTTCCCAAGAGTTTGGGGGGGGGTGTCCAGTCCTAGACCTCAGTCGGCTGAACTGGTTTGTGGAATTCAACGCTGGATTTGAGCGACGCTTACCTCCACATTCCCGTTCACCACTCATGTAGCCAGTATCTCAGATTTCCATTAGAGGGCAAAGTTTACGAGTTTACCGCCCTTCCCCTCGGTTGACGCAGATGCTCCTCCACGAGTTGGGCTTTTTAATAAATATTGCTAAATCCAACCCAATATCGTCCCACAGCCTGGTTTTTCTGGGTGTGTATGCAGTTCAACACGGAGCAAGGGCGATGCAAGTTCATTTGTAGAGTTCGCCAGCCAACTCCAGTCGACGGGATAGGTTTTGATGCGCGAACTAATGCGGCCTATTGCTAATGACTTAAGTTCGTCGTCTGGTTCCGTTAGCAGCTCTCCGGTCTCATCCGATTCAGAGGTGCTTACTGGACTACAGGATCCACATGTGGCACCTGACGTTCAGGGTTCAATCGTCGAACTAATCGATGATGGCCCTTCTTTGGCGGAAGGACGCATGGTACTTGGAAATGGGAACACCCCTAGATCTGACGACTCCCTCGCTAACTCTCATTACAGATGCGTCGCTCCAGGGATGGGGCGGTCATCTGAGGGACCTTCAGGACTGCCACATCTATTGGTTGAAGTTGTAGACTGTCCTACTGTCTCTGAAATTTTTTCAGGAAGTCACACACCACCACAGAGTCCTGCTTCGGACAGACAACACCTCAGTAGTGTTGTACATCTACAAGGAGGGGAGGGACGCGTTCCCCCACATTGTCGAAGCTAGCGGAGGAGAGTCTCCTTTAGGGCCTCGATAACCAGGTGGAGCTATCGGCGCACCGCCTTCCGGAGATATGCAACAGCGCTGCGGGCGCCATTTTGCGACGCATTCGGTTCTAGAACACCGAGTGGCAGACCCCCCCCCAAATGGGTGGTTTCGTCCTGTTTGCCAATCACTGGAATGCCGACGTACATGTCACTCCTACCAGAGACGAGCGCTTTCGCCACGGACGCTCTATCGATCTCTTGGAGTCTCATGGACACTTCCAACTGGGCACCAAGTGTTGGAGAAATTACGACTTGAGCCCACCTGACTCTGACTTTGGTGCCGCCCAATGGGCCAGTGAAGGTCTGGCTCCCAATGTTGATGGAACTTCTAGTCGAGTCGCCGGATCTTCCGGATCTGTTGTCCCAGTCGGACGGCACTCTACCGATGAGTCTCACGCTATTCCATAATCACGCGTGGAGGCTGTCAATAAACTCATGCAAGCACTTTGCTTTTCTGCAGAGTTGTCCAAGTTCCTCGCTTTGGCACAGCTGGACGGCACCAGACGTTTGTACGAATCCAGATGGAGACTGTACATTGATTGGTGTGACGGAAGGGAGATTGATCATCTCAGTCCCTCTATTAGCAAGGTAGGCAATTTTTTTCCTATATCTTTTGATCAAGGAAAATCTATATCGACAATTCTTGGATATTGATCAGTTTTATTCCCAGTTTTAGCAGAATCTGCTGGACTGAAACTGGCTTTGAGTTCTATTATGATACAACTATTTTAGTCTTTCCGTTCGAAGGGGCCACACACCAAGGGGCTAGCCAATCCTCCTGACTGGGACTTGTCATTGGTTCTAACGGCGTTACGACACTCCGCTTCGAGCCTATGGATAAGGCGGACATGAAGTATGTCACTATGTAAACAGTTTTTCTTTTGGCTCTAGCGTCAGGTAGGCGGTGCTCAGATATAAGAGCACTGTCCTTTAGTGACGGATGTGCCTCCTTTATGAACTAACTAGTTATTTTGAAGACTCGGCTGGGCTTTCTTTCCAAGAATCTCAGGGCGGGACCCTGATCCGATCGTCATCCCACGCCTCACTTACATAGTGGGCAAGGAGGGCCGTCAGGAACGGATTCTATGCCCGGTCTGAGCTCTGAGCTCTGAGCTCTGAGCTGGTACTGGACCGCACCAAGGTGTCTAGGGACAGTGAGAAGCGCATGTTTGTGGGCGGGGCAAACAGGGCCACCCTGCTTCAAATATCACCATTTCGCGGTGGATTGTTGATACGGTCGTGGAAGCGTATAATTTAACTGCTTCTTCATCGGTTCGTTGGAACGCCACCAGGGGAAGGCACACGAGATGCGCTGGGTAGCTAACTCATTGGCTTTGATGTTCGGGGCCTCGCTCAAGCAGGTGCTTCGAGCAGGGTTCTGGAGATCTCAGAATGTCTTCATTAACTATTACCTGAGAGACTTCCAAGTGCTTCCAAGACCTTCCAAGACCTTCCAAGTGAAGAGTCGCCTAAGTATCCTGGGAGTAATAAATGGAATTTATTATTTCCACGGACACTCTGGTAGGTGATGTAGTAAACTATTAGGGTTGTACAAACCCGTTTGTTTACCTAATCATACCTACCAGAAAGTCTGTGGAAACCGCCCACCTCCCCACAAGCTTCCAGCGGCCCATTGGTGTAGTGAAAACGTTTGTGAGAATGATTGGATCAGGCCTCACGAGCGTGAGCACCCTGAGGGTGACCCGTTTGAAGAGGCCTTTTTTCTATAGGGAATGCTACCTCAAGGTGTTCTTTGTGAACAGGGTATATTCCCTAATAGTTCCTGATCGGGGCTATAATCTTTAGTTAAGCCTAACGAGTAATAAATGGAATTTATTGTTTCCACAGACTTGCTGGTACATGTAGGTATGATTAGATTAGGTAAACAAACGGGTTTGTACAACCCTAATAGTTCTGTTCATTGCTAACAACGGAGATATTTCTTCCGACAGGCTGCCTGTTTAATTTTATAACCAAAACTATCCATTCTTCAACTGTTCTTTTAACCTCTATCTATCCAGAACAAGACAGCAATATGTCCTGGTTGAAGATTTTCTGCTCATGAATATTTAGAAGGATAATTAGCATATGCTGAAATTAACTGCAATATAATTATGGGATTGGTCTGAGCATCTGTTATTATGGTATTTTTTATGTGAAGTAATTTACTGAATAGATGTACTTTTTTCATTATAGGTTGTGTTGTTGGACGAGTGCAGTCAGATGACAGAACCCACATCTTTGCTACCCATTGCCAGATTTGAATGTGAGAAATTGATACTTGTGGGAGATCCCAAGCAGTTGAATCCAACCATACAGGGATCAGAACCATTGCACAAATCAGGTCTACAACAAACATTATTTGACAGGTTCATTCAAATGGTGAGTTTTTTCAGAACTAATTCAAAAAATATCTTTTAATTAGTTTGATGTCAGCAGACATGAGTTTTATAGTCACTGTATTTTGTATCAGATTTAATCTATGCTAATTGCTATTAGAAGCACATCTCTAATAGAAACATTGCATGTATTGTATTCTGAGTCATTTGAAAAATATGTTTTAATTGACCTTATACATGTACACTCTTTATGTCATTTACCGTACTCGACCGCGTTAGCGCCCATGCCCGGGCAAGCACCCACCCCCCACTTTTGCGCAATTTTTATATTAGGGGTCACATTCGGCAATGCGCCCACCCCTTCAAAATGCAACTAATTTAAAACTTGGTCTTGCGTAACGAATCTTGGTAATCGTTTTTATATGATACAGTGTGGACATCGACGCTGTGAACATGTTGTGAATGAGTAGAACACGGTAACCGTGCGTAAACTACGCTTCAACAATGACCTGTTAATACAAGTAAAATGCGATACATATTTCATGCCATATTCAGTTTACCTCTCAAAAATGGATAGTTACTAGTTTTTTTGGAAAAACCATGTCGTTTATTCGCTGAAATCAATTCCAACAGATCGTACTTCGACATCGATTATCCACTTCCGCATTGCGTTACTGGAAAGTCTTCGGGAATTTCCGAAGAATTGCGTCAGTACAACACAGCATTCTGATTAGTTAATAACCAACTTTGACCCATTAGATCAAGCGACGCTGCTGTAGGTCAAATCTGCAATTGCATCATGGCGGAAAGTGATTTTCATCGAGAGTTTGCGTACGATCCAACAAATTCGTCAGTGGAAATAATATGACAATTTTGACTTCGACTGTGTTCCAACAGACTCAAATGTTTTTAATTCCGTAAATTATGATGTAACGTAATTAATATTGTAATGTGCATATTTTTTGTGATCATTTCTGTTTCTTCATTGTGAAAATCAATGACGACGCAAACTAATTTAGTAATTTGATTTTCCCTCAAAGACGTAATCTGTCACTTGATGAATCAAAATTGTCATTTGCACTCTTTTTCGAGGTGGGTGCTCGGGTAAGCGCCCACCCCTACAAAATCGTGATTTTCTGAGTTGAGGCCCCTGGGCACTAACGCGGTCGAGTACGGTACATAAGCTCATGTATTAGTATTACGACAAATATGGGATATCTTTTTAATTTGCAATCTGTCATCACAGCTGTAAAATAGTATAACACATATAACACATACATGTAACTCAGCATGGGAATCATGCAATTACATGAAAGAAACAAAAACAATATAGAGTATGACAAAACTGTCAGTCACTTCTGAATTAAATTTTTCACACTGTCATGTTGTCGTGACCACTCCCCAAATTGTTAACTTACAACTTTTATGCATGATATAAACATAAGGCCTCTTTTTTATTTGTATTAATTAGTATTCATTCTTTCTTTGGCTGCATATTAAAGATAAGTATTTTTACTACCAGAAATTCATTAGTAAATCAGTAATGTTAGTGTTCACTGTACCATGGTTACAACTCAATACATTATGTTTACATTCATCTGTTGTGAGCAACAGATTAATCATGTGTATTCAATCAGGTCTCTAGTAATCTACATAATTATTGAATCATAGGAAAATGATAAAATTGTTTTCATCATTTTGTTATTTTCATTTTTTTTTGCACAGGGTCATGAACCAACATTGCTGCGAACTCAATACAGATGTCATCCAAATATCAGTGCTATTGCAAATGATTTATTTTATGATAATCAATTGATAAATGGAGTGTCAGAGAAAGACAGACAGCCATTGGCGGTAAGATTTTTTTTTACAGCAACAATTCTTACTATCAAGTGTGGAAACATGTCTTTGATATAAACCATCTAATTTAGCAAACAAAAATACTTGCTGTCTCTTCTTAATCAGGTTTTAGCCAACTTCAAAACAAAAATTGGGGTCACCAGACAAGATACAAGATTCTGAAATGTCATGGAAAAAGATCAAAATTGGCATTTGGGATTAAAAAGCCATATGTTATTAATATAAATTTAAAAAAATGACATATAATTTAGTTTCAAGGGTAATACATGTAATAATTTTCCATTATATAGTTGGTAAACTCCCTCCCACAATGCATTACATATATGTGCAGTAACAAACTCAGTAGAGCAAAATTTGAATTCGGCTCAAACTACCCTGATACATTGTACAATAATAGGAAACAATTTATTACACTCTGATTCCAGGCAAGCTTTCAAACTTTTGCCAACATATTCGTCAATTATTTGTAGATGTGTGTACACATGTTTTCAGCTTAATTCGTCCCTGTTCGGACGCAGTCCGAAAACAGGGACTTATGTTTTGATCTCTGTGTGTCCGTGCGTGCATGTGTGTGTCCGTGCGTGCGTGCGTCTGGACCTGTATTTTAGAAATGCCTGGACCAATCACAATCAAACTTCACACATACATCATACATGATATTATACATATGCACGTCAATTTGTTTCATGATCTGATTCAAGATGGCTGAATGGCGGCCATTTTTGTGCTAAAAAATCCTAAAAATCAACCATTTTCTTGGCTGTTTACAGATGGATTTTGTTCAAACTTGGTATATACATTAGACATTATGGGACCTTGATGCAAATACTTTAATTTGCTTTTCAGATAAGATTCAAAATGGCCGACTGGCGGCCATTTTGTATTGTTGAATGTGGATCTCGTGCCATATCTCTGACTTGCTTTCACTGATTATGTTCAAATTTTAAATATTCATTTTACATCATGTCATAGATAGACAGATATATTAGTTTGACGATCCTATTCAAAATGGCCAAATGGTGGCCTTTTTTGTGCTAAACAATCATCAAATATCAAGCATTTCTGACATTTATGGATGGATTTCGTTCAAACTTGGTACATATATTAGACATTACAGGTTCCTGATGCACATCATTTATTTTTCAGATTGGATTCAAAATGGCTGTCTGGCGGCCATTTTGTTTTAATGAATGGGTTTCGAGACCCATATCTCTGACTTGTTTTGACTGATAATATTTTCAAATTTTAAATTCATTATACACCATGTCGTAGATAACAGATATATTGGTTTGACTATCCTATTCAAAATGGCTGAATGGTGGTCATTTTTCTGCTAAAAAATCATCAAATATCAAGCATTTATGGGTGGATTTCGTTGAAACTTGGTACATACATTAGACATTACGGGTTCCTGATGCTTGTCATTTTATTTTTCGGATTGGATTCAAAGTAGCTGACTGGCGGCCATTTCGTTTTAATGGTTGGGCTTCTAGAGCCATATCTCTTAAATGTTTTGACTTATTATATTTAAATTTTATATATTTGTTATACATCATGTTATATATATACATGTATTCAAAATGGCTGATTTTGAATGCTGTTCCAGAGCAATATCTCTCAATATGGACAAGTACTTGTTTGACGATCAGATACAAATGTCAATCATTTTAATGTTAAAAAATCATATTCCTGACATGGTTATATTCCAGCTACATTACTATAAACAAAACTATATATCTTAAATTTGATAACTAACTGGGACCGTGCCATGCATGGCTTGTTCTACTATCTTTCAGGATATTTTCCCCACTCTGTGTTTTTATAATGTAGCTGATGGTAAGGAACTATGTGGAAATGTTGGTAGTTATTATAATGATCAAGAAGCTGAGTTTGTAGTGTTATTAATAGAAGCGTTGGTGTATCATGGGGTAGATCCTAAATATATTGGTGTCATTACACTGTATAAAGCACAGTTATCAAGAATAAGTCTTCATTTACAAGCCAGCAAGTAAGTATTAAATTGTTGGACTGAATTCAAATTTCAGTGTTAAATTAGAAACTGGTCTTTCCCTATACTTACGTATGAAACTATATATTAAACTACAATTGTACATATGGTGGCATTAGGTATTCTGAGTGGTACCATTCCCACGGGAGCTTTCCTCCAAAACGTTTAGCGATGTCTAACTGTTACCACAGAAAAGATATTATAATAAAATAACAGCAAAACTGAAAAAAACTTGATATGAAAAAAAAAATCAAGAAATAAGTACTAACTGTAAAACATTAAGCTTATTAGTCCCCGTTCGGTCGAAAATGAGGACTTATGGTTGGACCTCTGTGCGTCCGTGCGTGCTTGCATATATATCTTAGACATGACTGGACTGATTACAGTACTCATTTCGCCGAACCTCCCGCCCGCTTCCGGATTTCGATCGCTTTTTTTTCGCTCGCTTTGTTCAATTCGACCGCGCAATTTCCGCTTTTTTTTCGACCGCGCAAATCCAGAAGTATCCGCTCGCGCAATCGCTCGCTCGCTCGCCTGACAGCGCAACCGCCCGCATTTACAGTTCATTACCTACTGTTTCATGTACAAGTGTATCATTTTTGTTTTTTATGATGTTAAAATAAGAATAAATACAATCAGAAATTTATAGAACGACCGTTGAAAAAATACGGTGGATCACACGGCCATATAAAATTGGTAATAATACATACGCGTAGTAATAATGTCCACCATAAACAAGATCGAACCAAACATGTGAAATCAAATACGACACTGACACAGACACAACTAATATGAAATAAAACCATTCTATTTTTGGAGAGCGAAAAATGTCTACTGTAGAGTACGGTATTCGTTGAGTAACCGTGTGTAGGGTGATGGTTGTCATGTACGCATGGTTTGGGTTTAACACGGGTCAAGTTGTAGTTATGTTAAAATCCGTGGCACCTATAACAATTGAAG